GGACTCCGCATCGAGCTGCTGCGCCACGCTCGACCGCGGGCCGGCGAGCGCCAGCACAATTGCCTCGCGCACGCAACGCGGCACCTCCGCCCAGTCGCCATCGCCATTGGCAACAGCACGCGCCACCTGCACTACCTGTTTGCCCCCTATCATGTCCTCTCTCTCACTCACACACACACACACTCTCTCTCTCTATATATATAGATGTTTATATAAATATTTGTACACGCACTTATTTGTATGTTTGCAGATGGAGGCGGCAGGAGAGAACGAGAGTGGTTCAATGTAGCCCAGAAGCACAACACACACCAAGGAGTGTACAGCTGCGGCAAGGTGAGCGGAGGTGAGAGTGAAGTGAGCGGCGGGAATAATGTGGGGCCGCCTTGCCTGGACCTACCCATGGGGCCGCAGCGGCTACTCAACGCCCCATTGGAACATCAGCAGTAGAAAAAGCAGCAGCAGCAGCGGCAGGGCTGATGATAAAACGAAAAGTATCGCAGTATTAAACATATAACACCTGTATTAGTAACACCAAAGAGAACCACAATGAAGGCACCAGTGTCACTCCTCTTGAATGTTGTCAAGGACGGCAAAGACGTGTTGGTTATCGTCGAGCACGTCACATACACGGGCGTTCGGATCGCACATGACCCCGCCCTCCTTTTGAATGAACTTCGGAGACCCATACTTGCGCCCAAAGGAGGAGTCGTAGTGCACCATTGCTGCGCTACCAAGCCACGTCACATCCTGTGTGCCGTCGCCACACTCCAGCGCAATGACCTTCTCGCGCACGTGGACATAAACGCGCATTGGCGGCCCTTCCTTCTTCCTCTCTGTGTTTCCGCTTCCCCCCCCCACTGCAGCACCTCAACCTGCGGAGGGGTGCGGGAGGAGGAGGAGGAGAAGTAATGCAACGGAAAAGAAAAGCACATCCCACACCGTGCGGACACATGCATACACAACAGTTGCTGCCACGGCGACACGCGCCTCATCCCTCCCCCCAATCACTACTACTACTCCCACCGCCACAACAACAACAACAAGAACAACACACACACCAAAGAAAAAAAAACGCCTGTTGTATGCGACGAGACATGACGCGTCTCAATTGCCGTTGTGACTGCGCAGCTGTGCAATGCGGCGCGGGTCCAACTCGTGCTGCAGCGCCCCTGCCGTCTCCCCCGGCGTCGGCGTGCGCATCATGTTTGACAGCGTGAGTGTGTCCTGCGCCTCGCGCTGCCGCCGCGCAATCTGCAGCAGCTCCGGCGGCAGGTTGTCGCCGTACACGCGGCGGATGTGCGTGTACATCTGCTCCTCACGCTTCGGCTGTACGCGCAGCACCGTCATCTTGAGGAACTGGTAGGCAAAGCCCATGACAAGAATAGAGCACCACAGGAATTGTATTTTTGTGCGTGTCGGCATGCGCTCGTACTTCGCCACACCAGGCAAAGAAGACATCGGTGGCGGCAGCAGCAGCAGTAGCTCTTGCTGCTTATACTACACCACAACGAATGCACCGACTACGACTCACAACAGCCGCTGCAACCACCACAACCCTCCCTAAATATATAGAAACAGCGGTACGACACCAAGGCAGCCCTCCTACTTCCTTCATGCATCCGAGGACGAAAGAAAGGGAGGAGACAAGAGAGGGGGAGGTGCAGACAGCAGCAACACTGCCACATGAACAGAGAACACCTTCACCACAGAACACAACATACATAGAAGCATCTGTCTTTACTCAACCGCACCGCCATTCCTCCCTGCCTCCTTATCATTGCGGACATTGCCGATGCTGTCGTTGTTGTTGCTGTTATCGTCATCAAAGCCGATGTACAACACCGTCTCGCCGCGGACGAAGCAGAGCTCCCCGTCCGTCTGCCTGTCGATGACGGCGTTGAAGTTGTTGTCGACGCCCCGCAGCACACCGCTGTGCGCCTCACCGAAGACCGTGACGCACACCGCCGGCTTCTGCATCCGCTCCTCCAAGCTCACCGAGGCCATCACCGCTACACTACCCACCACCACGCAGCCCAACGCGAGCAGCAGAAGAAGAAAAGGAGGAGCGGGGAGTACACGAGTGGGGGTGGGGCGACGAAGGGAGAGACGAGGTGCTGGCGCCGCACCGCGCAGAGTCCACTGCTGCGACGTGCAGTGCAACAGCAAGGACACGAGTAGAAAAGCAATGGGAACAAACGGTGTGCGGTTCTCTGCGGGGTGGGCAATCAACAGAAAGCAAAAAAAAAAAAAAAA